AGGTAGGAGTAAAATCTCATAGACATGCGTGCTCCAGTTATGATTGGTATCAATGACCACTGCCGGTGATATTAAAATCACCCCACCTCCCCAGACAAATAAATCCCATCACAAGTCGCACTGATGTATGTATCTGTGTATTTCATGCTCTCACTCTCCTCTGTCAGGGAGACGCAGCCATGGATACCCTGCGTTATTGGCAGAGGACGTACAGCCGAGAGCTGGACAAGGAAACCAAGCAGGAGTGTGTGGCTACAGAGAGACTGCTGAGGGAGGCACTGGCCGGGGGAGGTGAGACTTTCACCCGGTCCTACCATCTTATCCTCAGCTTGCCTTTGTTAAATATCCTCTCAAATACTTGTTTTTCCTACTAATCTCTGTCTCACACAGTGCCTGCCGCTCCGGCCCCAGCCAAGCCTTTCGATGCTCTGCAGGACAGCCAGCTGTTTGATGCGGAGAACTCGGAGCCACTGTTGTCCTCTGGAGGGGGCTGCTCCGCCAGCCAAGACCGGCCTCGACACAGCAGGAACTCGGAGGTGAACGCGCGGCCCGCCAGCCCCAAACGGTGGCAGAGCAATAGTTCAACCCAGCGCCACCGAGCCAGAGGAACAGAGGCTGCTGTTCTCTATGGGGTAAAGTCTGATCAATGTTTTCAATGAAAATACTTCATAATTTCTTATTCTTCCTCTCTAGATCTACAGTTACAGTAGATGATTTGTATGTATATGAATTCCTCAGAATAACAGCAGCTGCTCAGATGAAAGCGACTCTGACTGCCCCGTCAGTCCCCTCCGTCCTGTCCGTCCTAGGCACAGTTTCCCATCAGCCCCGAGTCAAAAGGAAGCTCCACCAAACAAAGAAACCGGCTCCATCCCGACTTCAGGCACCACCAGAGAGAACCCTGCACCATTTGTCCTTGAACGAGAGGAGTACCACAGCGCCATTCGAGGCTTGGGCAGTTCCAAAACTCTTCTCCAGGGTCTGTCACAGCCACAGTTCTCCAGCACGCCCGCCGTGACGTCCAGCAACAAATCAGCTCTGGTTCCTGAGGAGGAGTATCTTGCCGATGACTGGCTGGATGATGATTTAGGGGACATGCAGCCGAAGAAGAAGAGGAGGCTTCAAGTCAAGCAGAACGGGATGAACGGGGAGGACACAGCCATTTTTTCAGCAGCCAGAAATCAAAACAGGCACCTAAACTCTAACCCAACCTGCAGAGGTAATGACTTCTCTTTCATTTGAATCTCACTTTATGTTTCTTTGCTTATTTGACCGTCAGTATTGCTCCTCTTCTCTCAGCCTCTGCAGTTCCCTCCTCCTCCAGCAGGAGTCTCTCTCTGAAAAGGAATGGCTCTGTGAGGCCTCACCAGGTGAAAATGACTCAGATGCCTGGGATGGTGCGGTTGGGCAGACGAGAGGTCAACAGGCCGCACAGCCCCACCCTCACAGATGATGACGACATGATACCTGAGACCCCGCCTCCGCACATACACATGCAGGTCAGAGTTCCAAAGAGTCAAAGTCAGAATACAGATTTCACTTATTGAGGACTGTGTCTGCAGCTCGATGATAATTAATGTTTCAACGTGACCAGGGGCTAGAACTGGAACATCATTTGTCATGAGTCTGCACTCGATTAATTTTAGATGGGGATGAATGTGACTGTAAATGAGACAGAGCTGATAGAGCCATTTTAGGATTTCTGAACATTAGCGACTTTACCAGAGAAGAAAATAGACTTTAACATCATATGTTCGCATGAGTCATGCTGCCAATCTGTTAAATCTAGTTCAAACTTTTTTAGTCTGTTAAAACAGCCCTGCCGTAAAATATTTTACTTTCGCAAAGGTTGTTTAGTTCCTTGACTCTATTTTAAAGGTGTTGATTTAATTGTATGGTCTTTTTGAAAGCTGCAGTGTGTGGGGCTGTTAAATTGGCAAAACAAAGGTTAAGGGTGATTTCCCTCTGGGTCTTTTTTTTCATGTCATCTTAAATTTTCCTTTTACATACATTTGCATATCACATGACGTCCATGTGTTTTTCCCAATCCTCACTCAAGAGCCTGGTTTCACTCTATACCCTGCACTTGAATTCAGATAGCCCCTGCTTGTGCTTAGATTTGCTGTTTGTGCTCTAACTGTGTGCTTGCTCTGAGATATTTTGTTGCTTGCGCTCAAGCTTCAGCTCTTCTCCTAGCGCTCACACAGCTTTTCTGTGCACACATCAGTGGATTTCTCTCCGATTTTTTTTTGTGTGCAACCAGTCTGTCAAGATTCCTCAGCCAATAAAATCCTAGATATAGGGATGAAAAACGAAATGGTCCTGCCCTCGTTGTGGGTGTGTAAATGAAATAAAGTCCTGCTCTCAAACTGAAACAGCCTTAAATGATAGAAGCCAGTTCATGTTGCTCACATATATATTACTGTTTTTATTTGTATATTTCAGCCTCCAGCTCAAACACTGGCCGCTCCGATGCCCACATCACTGCCTCCACCAATCAGAATGAGGGTCAGAGTTCAGGAAGATGTTTTCCTCATCCCAGTTCCACAAAGGTTGTTATATAATGAATAAATAGATGTCATTATTATTTTCCTCAAATATTCTGCCGGCACATAAAGAGCTTTGTACTTTGACCATACGGTTGTAGCAGCACCATAAGGGATTTTGAATTTAGTGTGATAGTGTTGTTAATACTGTCATATTTTCTAACCCATATCAATTCCACTGTGTTTCAGTGAGGCAGACTCCTGCACCGTGTCGTGGCTGTGTGAGCAGGCAGCGCAGCGTTACTACCAGAAATGTGGCCTCCTGCCTCGTCTCTCTCTGCAGAAGGAGGGCGCTCTTCTCTGCCCGCAGGACCTGCTGCTGGCTGTCCTGCACACCAATGAAGAGGTAAGGAGCACAGAGACATTAAGATGAAGTATCCTACATGAATGCAGTTTTAATACATTCAATTATTTTTTTACTGGGACAGAATAATAATAATACGTGGTATGTTGCAGGTTTTGGCTGAAGTGTGCTCCTGGGACCTCCCTCCTCTCCCTGAGCGTTACAAAAAGGCCTGTGACAGCCTGGCAGTGGGTGAGCAACTCACACAAACATACACACAAACACAGAAAAACACATTTTGATGATCTGTTACAAAGCGAGGAGTCTGTTTGCCTCCCTGCAGATGAGAACAAGCGCATCACCCGGCTGTGTGAGGTGCAGGATGGGAGCTCCTCTGTGTCGGTGTGCGGCCTCAGTCTGGCGCCCTCTTCCCTCAACCCGATGCTCCGCGCCCTCAAACTTCAGGCCAGTCTAACTGAGCTGCGGATTTCCGGCAACCGTTTCCATGACAACCTACTCCCTGATTTGGTTGCCACAACCATCACCATGCCTCGGCTTCGGCTGCTGGACATTTCTGCCAATAACATCACAGGCGAAGGACTGGGGAAGGCAGTGAGCGCTTTGAAGGGACAGACTCATCCGGCCTTTCCTGTAAAGTCCTCAGATTTTTTTATTATTTCCCCTGATCAGTTTCATGTTGGTGAAAATTTGTGTTGACCTTCAAGGCTTTAAATAACCAGTTGCCTAAAAACCTATTTTATGTATTAGATATGTTTCTATTGAATTCATGAACACTTGACACAGTGTGACAGTTTAATTTCCGTTGGTTATTTGTTACTCACTGAAACCACCTCCTCCCTCCCTCAAAACGCACATGGCACATTTTACCACCAAACGTGAGAACGGCACATTTAAAACAAAAAGAATTAATCAGATTGTTGTGGTGTTGGTGGTTTCCTCTCTTAGTGTCTGGAGGAGCTCGATCTCAGTATGAATCCTCTGGGGGACGGTGTGTCTGAGTCCTTGTCCTGTCTGCTGTCCTGCTGCCCTCTGTTAGCCAGGCTGTCTCTGCAGGCCTGCGGACTCACTGCTCGTTTCCTGCAGCAGCATCGCCTGCTGCTGGCCAGCGCTCTGACAGGTAAAACTAACAAAGTGTAGAGTCACTGGAAGACTGAGGAAAGTCTTGTGATGAAGAACATTGTCTCTTCTTCATTTCAAGGTTATTAATGTGGAGTCAATGTAAGTGGATGAACTGCATCTCCTTCTAAATGGAGCAAATGGTTCTTTATGATATTGTAATATTGATCTACAAGCAAATACGATTCTGAAGCCACTTGAGATTCAGTTCAGACTCTTAAAAACTCTTTGAATGGATTCAACATGACAAAGTTGATTAATTTACTTTTTAAGGGAGAGGACACCTGAAGTCAGTGAATCTCGCCCACAATGCACTGGGCTCCACTGGGTTTGAGCTGGTGTTGAAGACTCTGCCTCTCCACTGCCTCACACACCTGGACCTGTCTGCCATCCGCAGGGGTCCTGCTGATTTCCCGGCACTTGAACAGCTCACCAAAGTCCTGTCACAGGTGCACGCATGTATACACATGTACTATGATGTTCCCATGTCATCAGTGAACTGACTCATTGAGACGTTTCCATGGAACTTTTACTGTTTGACAGTTTAAATAAATGACATTGACGTTTGTCCTGAATCACAGGACGACTGTTCACTGACGCACCTGAGTCTGGCAGCCAACGACTTAACGGACAGCGGTGTCAGCACCTTGGCCAGGTGTGTGTGTTTGTGTGTGTCTGTGTGTGTGCTTGTGTATTTGCTGAGGGATTTTCCACTGTGCCTCTGCTGCCGTCTGCTTCTCTGAGGGATTTCCATCGATTCTCTTCCAGGTGCCTGCCTTCATGTCCGTCTCTGCTGAGTTTAAACTTGTCGGGAAACTCGTCCGTCACCTCAGCTGGACTTCACAGCATCCTGAACGCTGTCAGAGAGACTTCTCGACCTCTGACCCTTCTAAACCTTCAAGGTATACGTTAAAAAGCAACTTTATTTTCTTCCTCTTATAAAATAATTTAGAACATTTTTAATTATTGGCATAACTGTTTTTGAAAAAATAGTTTTGCCTTTGGTTGCTCATTTTTATCATAACTAAAAACAAGTCAACCGTAACTTAACCGCAAATAGGACATGGTATATACGTATGTGGTAGATATTAAGACATTGTTCACATTTGTCTGAGGTCAGAGTGGGTGGTTTGTGTTTGCACGCCTTGCATGAGATGCAAACTAATAGCTGTACCTTCGTCAAACATTTGAAATAGTACCTTAAATTGGGGCTTGTTGAAAAATGCTGAATCAGCCAGAATATGCTGATGTTGGATCTAGGCGGTACATTTTTCTTGCAAGAGAACTTAACATGTAAACTTTGAATTTCTATTCGTTTCATCATCCTCAGGTTGTCAGGTGTCGGGTCCCTGGGACAGTTCAGCTCTGGATGGTTTGTCAGAGCTGGTCAAAGATCTTCGTCTTTGCTCTCAGGGACTGAACAAGCTGGACAGGCAGGCTCTGAAGCAGAACTGGGACAACAGTCATTCACACGGGCTCTTTATTGACCGGAAAGCCAAGTGCCTGCTCTCTGCTGCAGCCTCTTCATGAAGAGGAAAGAATTCTGTGTCACACACACTTGAATCAGAGCCATGTGAAACTCGTGCTCTTATTAATTCACAAATACACAGCTTTTATAATAAGGATGATTTTCTTTCTTTTTTAGGTTTTGTTCAGTTAGCAGTGACAGCTGGAGACTTCATTAAACGAAATATCTAGTGACACACCATCCATGAACACGTTGTAAATAACTCTAATAACTTTCATTTATTCTGTACCCTTCATTTATGTGTCCCTGTAAAAGTCTTGTGCATAAAAACTGTTTATTTTAAGTGTATTTGGGTTCTGATGAACCTTTGACCTCAACCCACTGAATTATTGTATGAAAAAAATTAAAGTGACTCATGATGCTTTTGTCTTCAAGCGCTGTTTTTAATCGAAAGAGAAAAAGTGTTCTGCTTCATTCATGTCAAGATAAGTTCCTGTGTGAAACTGAAAAGAACCAGAACTGAATTGAAGTGAAGAAACTGATAGATCTTTCTGAGAAGTCACCACAAAAAGCAGAGACAGTTCTTGTGTGTGACTTCGCCTTGTTTCCTCAGCATTGTGGTCACACTTTCAGAGTTGTTGCACATGCATGTGACTATCAAGACTGAACTACTCATCTTTTAATTCTGAACACATACTCTCATGCCCACAAACCTGGGAATAATATATTTAGTTATTGATCCTCTGCTTTTCTCTCTTTACATTTCACCTCTTGCTCCTCTGCTGAGATGATAATGCTATATATCCCTGTAAAATTAGATGAACCTTTTCAGACTATCAAATTAAAGCTCTTACTTTTGGTTTACAGAAGTTGCTGATCATAACAGTCATTCTTTACCGTTTATTTCTAACTATGATTATTCAAAGTCTGAGAAATCGACATATTTGATTGATTTCTTATCATTATTTGATTGCCTCCCTCTGGCAGGTCGTTCTCAGTCTCAATTAACCTATTAAACCTCATATGTGAAGCACATACGATTATGTTTTAGATCCTCAGTCCCAGCCTCTTCTCTTGTTTCTCTTTTCTCTCTCTTTCGTCTTCCTCCTTGTTTGCTGGTATCTGGAAGTTACTCTGTGTTCTCCTTGATTGTACTCATCACACATAAATATTTTCAAAATGTCTGTGGGTTTTATTTTAAGGAATTTTTGTACCGGGGGACATTCACCTTATTTGACTGAAGGGTCCAAGGACTGAGGGTGTTGAAACAAGATGACCCCTCTTTAATGTTACAAGCAGACAAAGGGCAGCAGGAAGTAAATGACAAAAGGAAGCCGACAGATCTTTGAGCATATCATTTTTAATCAGTCTCTCACCACCAGGAAGCACTTACATTTTTTCTTTTTCTCATGAATTAAATGCTGGTATATTTTTATGCATGCACAAAACATTAGGGATATTCGATGATTTCAGTTTGTGACTCATCGTGTTTTGGACGAAAGAGCAGATGAGCCACTTCCTTTGGCCTAAAGAAACAAACAAAGAGAAGAACTTTTTAATTGTCACTGGTGTCTCTACCTATTATGTTGATTCAACACACGCACATTTTCAATACACATTTATGCGACTATTGTTGTTGTTATTGATAAATAGCATATTTAATATTGTGGTGTAAGTAGAGATGATTTGGATTACTTGTTGGGTAGTTAAATCTGTACCAGTAATCATAAGTAATAAACAGATTATTTATTAAGCTTGTAAAATATGTATTTATCCTTTAAGAGTTGTAGTCACAGTTTCTAGTTTTTCAGTAATCTGATGAATGAATATTGTAAAATCATTTTCTGAAGATTTTGAATTTTTGATCAATTATTGGTCAAAACCTTGAGAGCAGTGTATCCATGTGGTTTTAGTTCAGTTGAAAGGATGTTGGAATCGTAACTCACTGGCAGGCTCCGGTGTTCACACAGATAGTCCTCACGTCGTCAGTGGTCGTGAGCTCCTCGATTAATTCTCCGAGGTGCGTTTTCACGAATTTGCGACACAGCGATTTCAAGAGGCCGATTTCATTGCAGATGACGTTCAACTTAGACTTCATGCTCTGTAAGAGAGAAAAAAATGATTTCTCCTTCAAAGATACTCTAGATCTTTTCTGATCAGGATCGTAGACACTGATTTACCTCTGCGGTGGCGTTTCGTCCAATGATTCTCTTCACCTTATTTAAAGCCCACTTGCAAGCCCAGCATTTACCTGGAAGCTAGAAAAAAGAACTTGTGGTTTTTATTTCTGAAATGTAACATCAGGCACATTTATTTTTAAGAACTCACCTATGTATTTGTAACTATATTTCATCCTGTGAAACCTGCACAGTAGCAGTCGGAGGATGGAGTCTTGGTATTGTGGTCCCATTGATACTCAACCATCAGTTATGACGTTTAACCGCTGTTTTATAGCATCAAATAAATAATTGACCAAACAGTGTGATAAGAACTATTGAAAATGACAAGTCATTTGATGTCTGTTCTGAGTTTTTGGTTCGGTCCATGTCTCATCCACTAAGATAGAAAATAGCAGCTTCAGAATCAGTTTGATGGTTCACTGACTGGAGAATACTGACTCATAGTCACAGCTGAGATGACCAGAATCAGACCCAGCAAGTTCAAGTGTTTAAGCTCAACTGTAGATTAGTTAAACGACTTAGAAGTCATTCAGAACCAGTGTGAATCTCTAATATTCACCAAGGAAACTTTTAAAATACGAAGAATCCTAAACAGACTTTTGTGTATTTGCTACAGCTGCAGCTCCTCTAGTTCAGGAAGACGGGGATCCTGGGTAATATCCATTGTCTGTGAGTCCCCATCAGTGAGTGAGACTGGAGTGAGCTCCAGTCTAACACATTGAAACCACTGAAACCTTTTTACTGTTGCTCAGTAAAAGTTACAAACTGTTGCTTTAAAAAATGTTTAATTACCTTGCCGGCCTCCACAGAGGGTTCCACATCCACCGGCTCCTGATCATCAATCTCAATCTCAAAGCATCTCCCCTTGACCGTCCAGACTGTGAAGGCACAAAAAGTAAGTTAAAGTTAACACAGAACAGTTTTCTACAAATGAAAACACAGACAGGATTGAACAGTGAGCACCTGAACATGTCACCAGGATGCAGAGCAGGAGGATTGAAGACGTTCCCATGGCTGAGGGCGAGAAGGATCTCTGATAGCTGTGTTTGCTGAGAACCCACCTTTTATACATGAAAGAGTTGAGGGGCTGCACAGCAACACAACTGCTGCCCCCTCAAATGGAAATCCAAACCACAAGGTTGCCGGTGACAGTGCAGGTTCTCACTCTGATGGTTTTGAGGAGAGCTGCTAGACAGAAAACTTTATTCATAGCCTCCACTCACAGTGGTCGTGTTTTCAGTCAGGGCTCACTTAGAGAAGTGGTGTGTTGGAGTATCGTGGTCTAAAGCTTCACCATCTAATTCTTGTAATATGCAAATAAGAAAAAATCTTTATCTGAGCTGCTATCCAAATGTAAATATATTATTTATAATTTAAATCAAAATCTTGGAGCAGTTTGTGTTTTCTTTCACAAAGGAGAGTGATGTTGAGATATTGGCTGTCGGGTTTTGGTTTTCTAATTAACTCATTCAAATCTGAATTAATTTTTAAAATACTATTTATTTTATTTAAATCTACGAATGGCCTCGTTCCTTTATGTATTACTGACATGCTCACACCAGACTTTCAATTTTACCTATTGCTGAATCAATATATTTGTCAATTTCCTTTTTAGATACTATTTCAATTTGTCTCCAATTTACTCTGATTTTTCTTGTCTGTTTGTTTTCTTTTATTCTCTTTTATTTACTTAAAATTAGTTATTTTAAATGTTTATGTTTTTTACGTCTTCAATATCCTTTTAGTCTTGTTTCTTTCATCTTATATGTTCGGTCATGTCATGTCATGTATTCATCCTGTATCTTTGCTTTTTTATCTTAAAGCACATTAAGTGTGTGAAATCTGCTTTACAGATGAACTTGACTTGATTTGAATGGGGATAAAATCCTGAAATAATTTGATTATGATGAGCTATCAGTATTTTGGACATTTCCTTGTCTAAGATTAAAAGACTATTTTATGTTTACATTTTACAGTTTTAATTCATAAATAAGGTGCAGACATTGACTGGAGTTTTCCTTTGACTAGACTGTGAGATAGAGTCCCACCTACTGAAAATATTCTGAATTGTTTGGGTGAGAACTGACAAGTAGGCGGAAGGAGTGTTAGAGAAATAATAAGTAACCTTCATTAGCATCCTCACTCACTGTGAACTTCTATGGAACACCATTCTATATAAATAACCTCTATAAATAAAGTGTTTATGATCAGGTACATTTTCTATGACGTCATATAGAGACCTGCAAATAGCTGCCACAGCCAACAGGTTCTTGTACTCTTGTCTTTAATGTAAGTCAAGTTTATTTATATTGCACAGGAAAACAATCCAGAGTCCAGTAAAGTGCATAAGAGACAAACCAAGTGTCCATGAATCAACAGAATTTATTACGTCGTTTTAAATTATTGTAAAAGCAAACCTTAGAGGTGTAGGCCGAGAAGGGCATTCGAGAACTTAGTGCTACAGCCTCAAAAGCTCCATCAAGTCCTTACACGAGTGCAAAGGATATATGTGAGCGATTTAAGTGACTGGAGGAAAGAAGTTAAATTACATGAATCTGCTGCTAATCAAGTCTCTCATGCTACTCATGTTAATGTTCTCCTGATTTAATTGTTTGAAAGAACAGGAAATAAGAAACGTAACTCAACAAACCTATACTTTAAAAACCGGTGACCTTCAAATCAGGTCAAACTATGGCTTCACTACTGGTTGTGTCTCAAATTAGAGTCGGACATGTGCATGAAATGAGAATAATTACAACATGTTAAAACAAATTTTTATTCCAAAAAAAGACAATATGCAGAAACGAATTTGTTCATGATGGAAATGAAACACTTTGAACATTGGAAGCATTTAGTCTATGAGCTGTACACAGGCACTTTTTACTTTTTGCAGAGTTTCGCTTTCACACAAATGGCCTTGGGATTCTCATGGTGGGCGATGGAGTCAATCAGTTTTCTTTTGAAATGCCCAATGATCTTGTTGCAGGCCTGGCGAATGAGTTTACATTTGATTCCATTGCAGGCCTTGTTCAGCAGCCTGTCAATTTTTTCCTTCAGTAAAAAAACAAAATGTAAAAGGTCAGATAGAAACGTTTTTCATCAAGAATGGGGACATTGGTCAGTTTATTGATAACAACATACGAAAATGTCCAAATCATAAAAATCCACATTTAAGTCATAATATATACAATATATATGTATATATGTTGTCCACACATGTTGGTTTGCATTTAAGAAATCGTCACACTATGCGACTGTAATGAGAATAACGGATCAAATTTTAATATTCCAGTGAAAACAATGTAAACAGCTGCTAATATATGTATAATTTATTAATTCACAAGAACAAGAGAAAAAGGAAATAATGTCTGTTCTCTCCTCTATCGTTCCTTTAGTGCTTCCTGAACGTCACCCCGGGCTGCAACAAACCCTGTCACCTCAGTCCTCTCTGAGCGACTCTCTCTCTCTCTGTGCTTTGTTTCATCCACTCACCAACACCACTGACTTTATACTGACATCCACATATTGTCTAAGAAATGTCTAAAATTCAGTTTTTGCTTCGTCATTATGGGATATTGAGTGTAATATTTTTACTTTACATTCAACTTTTTTAATGTAGAGGCAATCAGACAAAACTAATTCAACATGCTGGTGTGAGGCTTTCACACACCTTTTGATGTATGTCT